ACTTGTTTTTATACCTAACCTAATCTTCTCTAAACCTTGACAACAGAAGGTATTTATTTCAAAGTGCTTGTTTTTATGGCTAATGTAACCTTCTCTAAACCTTGACAACAGAAGGTATTTATTTCAAAGTACTTGTTTTTATACCTAACCTAATCTTCTCTAAACCTTGACAACAGAAGGTATTTTTTTCAAAGTGCTTGTTTTTATACCTAATGTAACCTTCTCTAAACCTTGACAATATAAGGTATTTATTTCAAAGTGCTTGTTTTTATACCTAATGTAACCTTCTCTAAACCTTGACAATATAAGGTATTTCTTTCAAAGTGCTTGTTTCTATACCTAATGTAACCTTCTCTAAACCTTGACAACAGAAAGTATTTATTTCAAAGTACTTGTTTTTATACCTAATGTAACCTTCTCTAAATCTTGACAACAGAAGGTATTTATTTCAAAGTGCTTGTTTTTATACCTAATGTAACCTTCTCTAAATCTTGACAACAGAAGGTATTTATTTCAAAGTGTCTGTTTTTATACCTAATGTAACCTTCTCTAAACCTTGACAACAGAAGGTATTTATTTCAAAGTGCTTGTTTTTATACCTAACGTAACCTTCTCTAAACCTTGACAATATAAGGTATTTCTTTCAAAGTGCTTGTTTCTATACCTAATGTAACCTTCTCTAAACCTTGACAACAGAAGGTATTTATTTCAAAGTGCCTGTTTTTATACCTAATGTAACCTTCTTTAAACCTTGACAACAGAAAGTATTTCTTTCAAAGTACTTGTTTTTATACCTTACCTAATCTTCTCTATTGGTGGAGGGCTGTAGCTAATGCTTATTGCATCACACACAGGTGCAGAACAAATTATTACGTTTAGGGGTGGCAGTTTTGTTCAAAGGCTTGGCGCAACAACAGAAACTTTCCAGCAGTGGCACAAAGTAATAGTTATCTGTTGTGTAGAGAGACGAGGAATGTTTCTGAAACAGTGTTAATCTTTCTATAGCTTTTTTTATGTCAATAATTACAACAATAGATAAATTTAATAAATTTATGAGATGGAAATCTTACTTTTCTCCGAAAAAGGCAGATCAGAGGAACACTTATTTCTAATTGTTACAAGTTTCTCAAAACGTCTTAACTACAATAACTAAACAGGTTGTTTGTCAGATCTATATTCTTATCTTTTTCTAACAAAAATAAACATGATTTGAGCATGGATGAGATGCAGAAATGTGACGACACATTACGTAGATATACTTAACGCAATGATGCTTTATAGGCCTAAAAATAATGACTAAGAGAATTATCAACAAAAACAACAAGTTTTGTTGTCACATTAGACCTAGTATTAAAAACTTACTTGTAATGGTTCTGATGGTTCAACTAAAAGTCCAACATTGTCCCACAACTCAGCCAAATGAAGTGGTGCCATCTGTTGAAGCTTTTCCACAACAAATTCTAAATCCATTTTTTTAACCCCCAATTTTTTCACACTCTATAAGGAAGAAAAGTAATATAATAAAAAATGTGTTTTACTGGCAGAAGGTTTTAAACTGTTTAGACAGAATTAGTTTCATGTGATAAATAAAGATATCAAAACTGGCAACAAAACTGTTTAGGGATGGAGAAGATATTTTATTTGGGGGGGGGGGGGGTAACTTGCTCAATTCCAATACAATAAAAAAATGAAGAATAACGTATTGAAGACTCTTTAGTAACATGACATAAACTTGTATAGTTCCGTTATCTTTATCCAAATAGGTCATGATAAAGTTAGGCTGCTCTTGAAAGATGTTTTAGAAAAATAGCTACCACCAGCAAAGGGAGAACACAGTCTCAAAATTTAGCTGTAGAAAGGGAAAATGGGACAGTTTTTAAATTTCACTTCAAAGTAAATTTTAATGGGATTTGAATGACAACTTTATTGAAAATTGGAAAAAAGATTTCAAAAATGTGATGCGGGTCACTTCAAAAATTCATCCTTATAAACAACATACTGGATATGTGGTAGGAGTAAGGGGTTAAAACCACCCACAAAGTAATATTTACAAGTATCACTGTGATTAGTTACAGATTAGACATACTTGGATTTATGTGGTAGGAGTAAGAAGTTAAAATAACCCACAGAGAAAATTTACAAGTATCACTGTGATTAGTTACAGATTAAAGTCATAGCTTTCTGAATAGGAGACTCACAGTTTCAAGTTAATGTCAAGAAAAAATT